CAGCTTTTTTGTTTAAAAAACAAAAAAAAAAAAAAAAAAAAAAAAAAAAAAAGAGTCCCTCCTCATGGCAAGCACTAGCTTGAAAGCATTCACAATTCAAAAGGAAAAAGAAAAAAGGTATATATTCACACGGGCCTCTCCCTTAAGTAATGAATTTCTGCATTTGCAGTCATGGGTTTTCAGTCTCATGGGTTGGCAAAGCACTGAACTCCACAGCTGAAAAAATGCGCAGTACCTTTCCTACCCTTCATCAGGTTAACACTGTAGTAACACACGTGTATAGAACTAACTGCAGTATTATGAACTACAACATTCATACTAGTATCTGCTTTGACGCTGGCGAACAGAGAGCCACGTGTGGCTATATACTCAGGTCCTCGCTACATTCAGAGAATAATCTCCACTTAAGCCACTGTGATTCAAGGCCATGCTGCTGCATGGGTCAGCAAAACACACACAGCAATCCTCTTCTAACACGCCTATTCCCAAACTGGTTTTGCAGTCAATAACAAGGAAAGGAGCTTTCCCGAGCCTCTGCCTTCCCTACTGCCACTGACTTCAGAGGAGCTCTGCAAAGGGAGAACTTGCAGGGCTCAGGCTTGAATACCATCGCATAATCTTGCCTTTAAGGGTGCTGCGTAGCCATCATCTTCAATTTCCATTTTAAAAAAACCAGCCATCACTTTAAGGCCAGCAAACATTTTCACCGATACCTTCTTGGAAGATAGGAAACAAGACGCCTGCTCTATCCATGAAACAACGGGAATCATCTTTCAGCTAGTTACGAGCCATTTCCTAGATCAAGTGAAATTCTATCTCCTTTATCCTTGGCTTTTAGGCAAGCAGTATTAGCATGAAACCCCAAGAAGTGAGAAATGAGGCCCTGGAACTTTCCAGCCATTAATGAAGGATACAGGCTCCCAGTTTACAAGAAGGAGCTGTACATTTATTTCAGCAAAAAGACACTATGATAATATGGATTAAAGTAAACCTGGCATGCTAGACTCTAAGACTATGGTAAATTTTCCTTTCCTCTGTCCCTCTAATTCACCACCCAAAAGGTTTCCTTCTCTGCACCCATGCTTTATGTGATCATAAATGACAATTTGTAAGCCAACAACTTCTATAATAGGTCACAGTAGAGAATCAATTTGATCACCAAAGCCATGGTTGCCTATCAGAAGTTTTTAAGACTGTCCAATATAGATTCACAGGCTTTACAACTAGTGTAGTCCCAGCGAGGTGAAACTAAGCCCCAGACACACAGTTACTCCGTCTCTTGAGAGAGGAAATCCATTTCCTAATCTGCTCAGCCCCACCATTTAGCAACAGGAGACAAAAACAGAAGCTGCAGAGAAGATAGTGTGCAACAAATGTCAAAAGCAACTTATTACAAGAAAAAAAGGTTGAGCAACTTGAAACTGAAATAACTTCATGTCTAGATTTGGGGGCAAAGAGCCACACACCCTCTCTGGGCACCTAAAGCCAAGCATCGTCCTCAGAGGGACACGCGCACACGAAGAGCAGACTGCAAACTGAGCAAATGCTGTACCAAAACCCGAGCACAGTGACAAACTCAGAGCAGAGCTTCCATTTACCAGGGGCTCTGCTAACGAGCCCCATCCTGCATTTCAGAAAATGTAAGAAAACAAAATCCATATTGTTTGATGTCTATTTGGAGCGTTACCAACTGAGAGGCTCCAAGGCACTAGAGCTGGGGACGGTTACCTCCAAGAGCCTGACTTTGGCTAGTGGTGAAGATGCAAGTGAGACTGCTGGATAAACTGGTTTCCTGGAGGAACCATCTCCTTATATTGAAGTGAAATCAGTGGAAGTCTGGAAACCCATTTTGTTTCCAGATAGGCCATTGTGGTTCCTATAAAGAAATAGCATGACAATAACAACTAATTGCATGCCAAAAAGGTGCTATTGCTTGCTCCACCCTTGCAACGCATTCGCATTTCCCTCACGCTCAGACAAAAGCGTGTCTTCCATTACCTAGTACTTTTGATATTTGACTTTGAAATTACTGGCAAAGAAGGGCAGTAGCTGTTCCAGATCTTAGGAAAGTCTACTTATAAAAAGCTCCAAGAGCAGATTACACACTAAGAGGAGAGAAAGCTAAATATAAAACTCTTGCTGTATTCGGAAACATATTTGATCAAGGTAACAAGAGCTTGTTTACTTCTCAGCTTCTTCACATGACATTTTAACTTTCTCTAGACAAGCATTTAGTAGATATTACCCATCATAATTTGTGATCATTCCAAATAAGCGTTATCTCTGTTACATAATAGAGTCCTTAAGCACATTTCAGCCTTGCAAAAACATTCCCTGGCAATAGCGGGCCACTTCCCAAACCAGAAGAAACTTTAAGAGAGCTGGGGGAAAGTTCATTTAGACAGACAGTAAACAGAGGCAGACTGGCACCTCCAACTCATCCCCACCGCCTCCCAGCGAGGCACACTTTTCTGGAGGAAGCGGGACATGGAGTAGCTTCGCTGTTGTTGTTAGCAGCTTTAAAATACCGTTAAGCTTGATATCTGGATAGATTATCCCCAGGAACATACAAATTCTTGTGTGCAATACGCAGGGCATGTTCTCAAAACAAATATAACAGGGCAATACTCCAGCATTGCTCTTCAGGCAGATGAAAACTGACCTAGATCTTCTGAATATAATGAGTTCTGTTTATAAATGGAAACTAACTTTGACATTTAACTGATGTTTTCTTGAGATTCTTATAGAAAAACCAGGAGACGTAGAATCAGATGTTCAAGTAATGTTGATGAAAGGTGAGTCTCCATCTCCCACGCTGTTCTGGAAATGACCATCCTCTTAATGAGGACTTTTTCCTGCGTGACTTATCTACCACTCTTTGATCTTTCCTTGAAACTGATTATATTTAAAAAAAACAAAACAAAACAAAAACAAACCCAGAACAAACAAACAAACATAAAAACCACCACCAAGAAAACCCCAACAATCTTTTCACCAGTGGAAGTGTGTGTGACTTTGCCACACAGTTAGTGCTGCGAGTTCACACATCAAGCAAGAGAAGAAATAGTGATAAACAAATTATTTCTGAGCAGGACACCCATCCTGTGGAGAGCTCCGCTACACAAACAGTGATTCTTCTTGAATGAGATGTTCAGAAATACCTATCTGAATAGAATGGGGTAGAAATCCATTGATGTATAGATACTCTGGGGGATATTTCAGAAACAAGTCATGTAAAACCCGATCTCTCTCAATCACAGACTGGTTGAGGTTGGAAGGGACCTCCGGAGGTCATCTGCTCCAGCCCCCCTGCAGAGATGCTAATACAAGTAGAAAGCACAAAGCAAAGGAATTATTTGGGACAGAAAGACAAACTTCCACATGAATAATAATGAAATTATTAGAAACTAATAATAATGAAATCAAGGCCTGAAAAATGATATTTTAATGGATGTTCACATTTAAGCCCTACTATTGTTCAGCTTTTCTTGCCTTTTCACCTGTTTTGTTTTCCTGCCTTTTTTACATTCAATAGCAGGAGTATTATTTGTAGTGTACATTTACAGATCCATTACGTGCTTCCTGACATCTCTGCTGCAAGTTGCATGGCAATCCAGAACTCCAAATTCTCTCCCAGGATGGATTTGCTCATGTATCTAATTCCTGGAGTTTATTACTGCCATAGACACTTCTCAGCAAGAGGCAACGGAATGGCTTTAAACTGGTAGTATTACACTGTGTGCAAGTCTTAGTAGATGAAACGACAGACGCAGAAATGCTTCATTACCACTCCACCCATTAAAATACAAGATTTTCCCTTGTAATTGAAAGCGAGAACATTCCTTCCTCCTTGTTTCCACTACAACACGAACAGCATTTCTTCCTTACATTAAGGGTCTAGTTTAATACTATTTTTCCGCCTGCCTGAGACTTTACTTTTAAAACAATTTCATACTAACACAGCTTAGGTAGTGTCCAATTACTTTTTAATAATTAACACAGATATTTTAGAAGTCTTAAAGAAAAGCAACTGAAGCAAACTGATCGAGATATTAAGCAGGTAGGAATTGTAAAAGAGTTTGCAAAAAAGTAAAGTTACTCAAAACCATAATATGACTAATCATTGAAAAAGTAAGTTGAAACTATCAGTCGAACTATTGTTTTCCTACCTCATGTTACCCATAGTTATAAAAACTGCCTGGTGATGAATCACTTCCAACTATTTTTAAATGCATCTACGCAAATGATATTTATAGTTTATGCTAGCTTATCTGTTCTGCGTGTTTTTCATGTTAGCACCTTTTAAAAGGCTGACAGAAACAGCCAGGGCAGAGCAGACGGCAGGTCCACCTTGCCCCACGCCTTCCTCGCAGGGCTCCACAGGGAAGGAAACGTCTTGCTTTACTCCCATTAAGATGAGCACCAGAACAGAGGCATAGGGATCCCCAGGGCTTATCTCCAACTCCTGCAGATGATCCTCTTCATGTCCTATTGTTGTTACGGTGGTGCTTACACCCAGCCAACTTCTACACAAGCATTGGACAGAGACTGTCCCTGTCTTGAAGAGCTTACGTTAAGTATGAGACCGTGCCACTAGGTGCATTGGGATATTTCAGATGCAGGTCATCTCCACGTTCCACAGAGATGTACATTCACATCGAAGCATGCTCACCAGTACATATACAGCCCAGTAGTATTTAGGATCCTGCAGTTGCTTTGTTATAGGGAAGGATGATCAGAAGCAGAAGGCAAATGGTCCTTGCCTAGTCCAACCATCATATCATACACCTCTCACCCCTGACTGAAATGCTTTTTCCAACAAGTGATTCCCTTCTGCCCAAATTCCTCTGCACATTGCTATTATCTGTTACTGGATTTTTTTCTTTTGGCTTTGAGAAGATACAACAGAAGTTGAGTATATAGGACGCAAGGGGAGGGTATGCTATGTATTTTAATACCTTCTTACTGCAATCCAATAATTTACTTATTATTTGACCATTATTGTACAAAGACAGCTGTGTAGACCTTTCTGAAAGAGCACAACTAATTTGGAAGCAATGAAAACAGTCATGTATGGCATGTTAACAATGCTTCCAGCTTTGGAAGACCATCCATTAGCTATTTCTAAAGAGACATGGGCAGGTTATTTATTTTTTTTAATAATAATACCTGAAATGCAAAAGAAGTTTATCAGGATTCACATGAGAAGGATGATCCAGGCTGCATTGCCAATTTGCAAAGTTGGCATTTTCAGCGAGAGATTCCATTTAAATGCTGGTGATATAACATGTCCATAAGGCTGTGAGGAGGAAGAAGATCCCTAAACTAGAAACCATGGGGCCTACACTTAGAAAAAAATTTTGCAAGATAATTATCTTTGCGAGAGTTGAGGTCACTTCAGGGTTGTGTGACTGTTGTGGTGAACGCCTGCTGATTCTGCAGAGAAAAGCGGCGTTTGTGACTTGACCAAGGCCATGGAGGGAGCCTGGGACGATCAGTCGCGAAGGAGTTTACCCATCCCTTTGGGTGACGCTGCCCTCCATCACTGTGACCTCAGTTGGGGTTTTGCAAAAGTCAACGGACCTGTACTCTGGGTAGCTTGGAAGAACTGCTAGACGGTGGATCATCTCAGGGACAACCGCTCACGACTGGTGACTGCTTGCAGCAGTTACATTTTTAAGGTTTATCACAAGGAAAGAATGTTTCCCTTAAAAAAAAGATAAATCCAAGCCACCCCCTTTTCATTTTTTGAAGGAGGGTGACACATCCACAGGCACTGCAGCACCGCAGAGGTCAGCTCCATGCTACATCTATAAATCTGTCTCGTTCATTTACCAGCTTAGCAATCCTCACCTTGAATAGCTGCACTACTTGAGCTCCAGGAAACTTCTGCTGCTTATACTAAGCACATATTGTACACTAGGCACATATTCAGTCAGCCAGATATTTCACAGTCAGTATACTAAACTGGACCTAGACTTCAATTGGCTTCCAAGGTCCTTGGCTCTGTCCAATTCTTTAACTGTACATGAAGCTGACTTTAGTTTGTTTTCATTTTTTTCTCCCTTCTACCAAGTCACTTGGCTCTCGTTAAGGTACCTAATTTATACTCTAAAGTCCAATACATGAGCCAGATGCCTTTCCACAAGCAAAAAGACATAATATATACAGGTTAGGTGCAGTCTAGTCAACACATTAATCATAATCTGGAGTGTGATATTGAAAATAAGTAGGTTGGAAGGTTTTGTTAAAGACATGTAGCATATTGAGTAACTTTGCAATTTACACGGCTTCAGAATTTACAATTAGTAATTTCATAAAATATTTCTGGGACTATCTCACATATGTCCTTTCAAAAAGTAACGGTTCAGCTTTTAGCTGATTTAAGCACATATATGCATGCAAACATATGCACATGCACGCACACATACACAAACTCTGTGCTCTTTTGAAATACCCATTTTAATAAAAAACACACACAAACAAGACACAGTTCCTTTCAGTTAAATTGACTAGCATTGAACACGATGTTTTACATTATTCAAGCAGACTGCACTTCCCTTTGCAAAATTACAACAGATAGAACCAATTCAGGGAAAAAAAATACATTTGTGCCATTTAGCATATGATTGTAAGAAGAATCATAAAATTAAATCTCTAAAAGCTTCACATCTCTGGAAAAGAAATACTTTCATCACGGTGAAAATATTAAGCTTTCAAATAATTAAAATAATCTCAAGAACTGTGCAGTGACCGTACCTGGGAAGCATCTTTGTCCCCCGAGCAGTTCCACTTTTCAAAATCCCTATAAACTCCTGTTGTGCCCGGCTGCCAACTCAGGTTAATAATAGCAATGAGCCATATTCATCCAAAACCACAAGACTGTCAGGTGACATATCAAGAGGTCTGAATTTAACTCAAACAAAAGACTCCCCATGCTGCAATGCAAAAGGCTTCATCCTAGCAACAGGATCACAAAAACCACCTTAAAGAAAGCAGTTTGCTGAAGCGCAATATAGGCATTTGCAGCAGGCTGCGTTTGCACTGCCCTGGAGTTTCATAACCCAAATCCTGCCCCTCCATTCTGTTGCACAGCCCGGGATTTCTGCTCAAGTAAATATCGCCCGTCTTCCCCACTCCTTTGTCTCTTCCAGTGTATTGCTGCAGAGAAGATCAATCTAATTCATCGGAAAGCTAAGTGCTGCTTTGGCAGCTGCCGGAGCGTACATGTCAGTCCCATCTATCCTCCTCCTCTAGCGAAGGCGATCGGAGTTGAGTCTCATGACCCGAGACCCTGGCAACTGTGGCCGCCGTCCTGCACCTCCACGAGCCGCGGCCGTCGGGAATTCAGCCTGCTCGGACAAGGAAGGGGGGGGGCAAAGCAACGTGGCCTCCTTCCAGACTGCACCCCCAGCCTTTACATTCCTGGAAGCGACGGGATGCTTGCGCTGGAGCCCTGGAGCGCGAGAGCGGAGGCAGAGGGGTGGAAAAGCGAGCGCTGACAGCCATCATGTGACCCAGCTGTCAGCGTGTGCCACCTGGAGCCGCCATCCGCCGCCACCAATCCCAGCGCCGCCGCCGACCCCTGCGCGCCATTTCTCCGTTAAAATAAAGGCCTTTAAATGTTGAACTAGACGGGGTCTTGTTTGCGTGCGTGCTGGGAATGGGGAGAGGTGCCTACAGCTACCGACGCTTGCTGCCTGCCTTTGCGTCGCCAGTTCTCAGCTCTCCAGCGTGTTTGCAGGCTGAGTAAAACCAGCTCTGTTCCGTGTATCACAGCAGCACCCACTCCCCCTCCCCATCGGCTCCTATAAGAACAAAGGAAGCACTGTATGCCCTGTGAGGGCTCATTAATATTACAAGTGAAGCATCAGGAACATGCAAGACAACTGGATGGCAATATATAGGGGTTTTTAGGGGAAAAAAAGAAGACGTGAAATAATGCCCACAAAGAAATCCTGACCAACCTGATAGCTGTAAACAAGGTTTCATGATTGCTCTTGTGGTAACCCCACCATGCTAGGAAGGCTGCCCGGTACATCACAAAAGCAGAGAGCTTGCTATTTAAAGAACTTTTTTCTCTAAATTGTGGTGGAGGAGCAAGAGAGATGGACGGGGAAGTGAAGAAGAAACCAGGCATCCAAAAAACCAATGCACATTAAAAGCCATCAAGTACTGTCACAAGCATATGTGGGGCTAATCATTCATACTATTAATTTTGTATTATCTTTGGACAAAGCTCAAGAAATACATAAAGGCAGGAGACTGTAGCATCATAGCTCCTACTCCAGTTTTTTCCTCAGCGTCTGAAAACCTACAGGTTTTGCCAATATTTCAAATAAAAGGCAGCAAAAATCTGTTTATCATCAGGATCTCCTGTTCCACTGCATCCCACAACACAAAGTTTAGGGCTGTTGATGATTCCCCTGCATCACAGAGTGGGTGAGCTGATGCACTTGTTCGTGGGCTCTGATCCCAAGACCACCAATCCCAACAGCCCAGGTGATGTTTTGCCACCCAGGATGGATTCCACCAGAGAACACTGAGCTCCCTCTTCTGCTACACATCTGCTGGATTAAGTTCAGAGAGAAATCCTTAACTGCTGACTTATAGGAAGGTAGTATTTTTATGTTGGGTGCTGGGCAAGTATTTGGACATTAACACAGTCAAACTAAGACACAGATACTTACTTGGTTCCAAATCGAAACCCACTATCTTTTGTGACCATGAATTTTATAGGAAATTTCTCATTTAGGAATGAAGAGTTGAGGTCCTGACCCCACACAGACGTACATTATAGACTTAGCTTTTCAAATGTGACTAGTGCCAAGGAATTCAATGGAATTACTCACATGAGCAAAATTAGGCATGTGCTGTTTACAGGACCCATGCCTTAAAACCAAATCTTGCCTTTAAAGCTTAAAATGCCAAGCCTTGGGAGTTGTAAGCAATAACATCTGACCTCTCCTACCTTCTTGATCTAGTGAAAGGAATGTGCTGTGCGCAGTAACTTTCTTTACCTGTGTGGCAAACGCATCACTCTCTAAAGGTTACTGATGTCAAAAGTGACCTTTTTTTTCTTCGGCATGCAATGGTGAGAAGTTCAGTGCAATGTATTATGTAAACATTTATTTACAGGAGTAACATCTAAGGTTTCCATTTTACCTCAGGGTAACCTGATGCATATTAAAGACAAGTGCTTTGAAAGCAGACCCAGCCTCCATCCAACAACTGACCAGGAAAAATACTGGAAGGAATTTCTCTTCAAATAGAGACAGATTCAAAACGTACAGAGAGTAAATAGTGTTTTAGCCAGATCAGTGAATATTTATTGCTCGAGGAAGGATTTCAGATACTCGGTGTTGGTTCAAAACACAGTCACCATTCCCACATCCAAGAAAATACTCAAACCTCTCTAAGATTAAACATGCACGATCCTCTTCTCTAGGTGTATATCCAGGCACAGTGAACATCCTATTTACTGATCTGGAACAGAGGAGGTAAGTTTTCAAAAACAACGCCTGATTCTAAATTTCTGAGATGTTCTGGTCACACCAGTGCGTACCTATGGTATTTTAAACCTGGGTTCAAGCCAGTACTCAAATCCAAACCTACTGGCTGGCAACTGCAGATGCAAAGCCATGCTCAGAGAGGGCTCAGGCTGTGCCGGGATGGAGGAATGCAAGGCGGGCGCGCAGAACCATAACCCACCCTGCCATAACCCACCCTGCCCGACTGACAGCAGCTTGCAGGGCAGAGGGGCATGGCACAGCCCCTCGGCCACTCCTCCTCGCTGCTTCTCTGCACTGTTTCTAGCGGAGGGAAACAAAAATAAAACCCAAAGTGGGCCATTGGTTAGTAAAAAAGCTAAAATTACAATATTGGTTGTATTCCAGCTACAGTAACTTGTTTTCACCTATGCTGTGGAAGCTTTATGCGGTTTGCAACAGGCCTATGGCATCTGTCATTGAAAGGTGCCTCCAGAAAGGCAGCTTCCCCCTCCCCCCAGTTCCCCCCCCCCCAATGTCCCTCATTTACCACCTAAGCAGTATTTGGCTTTGGCAGGGAATATGATACTCTCCGTCTCTTTGAAAGGGTGCAGGCTTTTCTTTGTGTGTGTGTAAATTTGAACTTGGAAAACAAAGCTGATAACATTATCTAGTTTCAGAAAAACACGTAAGTTCAAAAAATAAGGCAATCAAAATTTCCTGCCTTAGCCCATCACCTTCCAGAGAGATCCGGGGTGGGCACTTCAGTATCCACGCACATCCACCCGACGGCAGGTGGGAAAGGTGCGGTGATGGTGTCCAGCCGCATGGGACAGCTGAGAGGATGAAGCACATCCCACCCATGGGGTTCTGTGCAGACCCCGACGCCAGCCTGGGGCTGGGGCTCCTTCTTAAACATACATAAGCCAAAACAAACAAACAAAAAATCCTCAAAACAAAAGAGCAGTGAAAAGAGTTCCTTTCTTCATTTTATCCAAAGGCATTTCTGAAAACATTTAGAATTACTGGAAAGGCTCATATGCACCTTTTGGCTATAAATCATCTGATTTTAAACTGAGGAGACAACAGTTTGCTCCAACCACAAGCTAAAACAGTGATGAAATGATTCATTTTTGTTCTCTGCTGCCTTAACGAGTTTTTTTAGTCTTTCTCCTGAAAGAAGGCTTCCCTCACACATGTTATAAACGCACACAACAAAGAGCCAGTAAGCAAGCCAAGAAATGTTTATTGCTTAGTAATGCACAAAGGTAGGAGCTGGAAGCCACACTAGACAAAAAGAGAGAAAACCAATTAGGATTTTATTTGAAATCCAACTAGAAATACTTGGATACCATTTCTCTACAAAATACTCACCTTAGTAGGATTACCACTGAGCTAGACTTCTAAAAAAATGTGCTTTCTGTGCATTTTTGTATCCCTGCAAAAAAAAATCCACTGAATTCCTCACTGCTGGAGAGGAAAAGTGGACAGTATTAAAGCATAAACCCTCCGTATACAACTGGAGCACATACATACACATACCTGCACGCACCATAGATAGGCACGCACAAACATAAGCCCAGCCAAAGGTCAGCAAGAGCCAAAACGATGAGAAAGATCACTGCAAGCAGTCCGCAGGTTTTTCAAAACCTAGGCCCCACTTTCTTTAAAGGAAACCAGATTTTTAAATACTGAAAAAAAGTGCTTTTCATATGCAACACACACACACACACACACAAAAATCAACAGAGAACCCAAGTTTATAAACTCTCCATACACAGGATTCGCACTAGCAGCGAGAGGTCTCATGACTGGAATAAACTGTCTCTACGGGCAGCGTAAAGGAGCACCAGCACAAATACAAATCTGCCTGGAAACATTCCTGGAGGGTGCAACATCTTTCTTTTAAGAACGTGGATGCTAAGACCTCAGCAGATTGACTGTCCCTTCACTGTTGTAATTTTTCAAGTCATGATAAAAGGTGCTTAAAATAAAAATAACTACCAAAGTAAAAATCTGATGCATGGTTAAGCTACTGGAACATCGGTGTTTGTTTTGTATCACATTTCCAATTGCAATCTACTATAAATAAGACACCAAACAAACCTCCATAATACCAACTGGTACTGCAAGACAACAGGGCATTTTCCCCCTGCCAAACAGTTATTTTATTGTGCACTCTCGGGTGTGCGGAGCAGAATAATCTTTTGCTGTAGCTATTAAAAATAAAGCGTAAATAGTTCAGTATTGTGTGTGTGTTTAATGAAAAGTTGGGAAGAAAAAAAGTTCCAATACAAATTGCTTTTGCTGCACATAAACAGTTGGTGGAAATAAAGAATTTTCTAAAGTCACACAGAATAATTTAGTGTAGCAGAGGAGGGTTATGGGGGGGGGGAAGTCTTCCCCCCCCTCCATTGTGTTGT